CTAAAAGAGAAATAAAGAGAAAAAAAAAGAGATAAATAAATAAGTAAATCAATGAATAAATAATTTAATATTGGATCGAATTTTTTTCACAATTTCATATTATCAGTTTCATAGAATTAGCAGCTAAACTCTTTTATCAACCGATCGTCACGTAAAATGAACGACGATCGGTAAGGTAGGAAATATTGTCTATTCCGTCGATAGAGTTGAAAACTACAATTACGACTGTTATTTTACGCGATCGGTATTTGTTAAAACTTTTTCCCTTTTCTTTTGATATATTTTCTAAAAATTCGAAAGATCTTTTCGCAGATCGGCTTAATAATCAATGTTAAAAAAAGAAAAAACAAAGAAAGGAAAGAAAGAAAAATGAACTTCAAGCGCGAGAAAAAGAAGAAAATATAGTAGTTGAGAAGTCTCGAAACATTTTCATACACAATGTTGCAAGACGGTGTCCTCTTATAGCACGAAAGTATTAAATGCATAAGTACATATAAGCGAGGGCAAAAAACCGTGAAAGCGATGAGTCCACTTTAGAACTGTACAAAGGGAAGTTCCATTCGCCATCTTTGTATTCCGTAATAATTAATGGGGATTAGTTACGGCGTGCTGCTGCACCTGCGCGTGCAAGCGGGAGAGAGGATCGAGTTTGTCGTGCTCCTTCGTACTGCAAGATTTTATAAGAGCTTAACAGCTCGCGTGCTCGTACCTATCTTTACGAAGCGTGTAAAATTTTAACGTACTGTTCAAGGTCGATTATCGGAGTTGTCGAAAATTGTTTCAATAAATTTCAAAGAAACGTTTTATATTAAAAACTTTGATTATTAATAAATATATCCTTTTAGATGCATGTTACGAGTTATATGCAGGATATATGCACGATAATGCAGAGAGATTATCTAAAAGGGTTGAATTCGTAAACGTTGGTTGGCAACTGTTCGTAATCTGCACCATACGGGACTTCTTAGAATTGATATAAGCAAGAAAATATCGCAGCTTGTCGATCGAGAGCATAGCAAAGGTGCAGATAAAGAGAAGGGAAGTGCGAATGTGTTAACAAAGTCTCTCTCTCTCTTTTTCTCTCTTTCTCTCTTTTTTTTTTCTCATCCGGTCTTGGATAATATTTTACTTATTTATTCTTATAAAAGTTTAACGAAATTCGATAGCACGAAAAAAAAAAAAAAAAGGAAAAGAAATCAGATTTACAAGGAACGAGGAGAGAAAAAAAAAGAAAGATTCGACGAGAGCTGTCTTAACGAAGTGAAATTTGAGGCTGACATACATATACGATGAGTGGGTGATGTATATACGAGCAATGCATATACGTCCCTTCGCGTCCTTTTCTTCCTTTGACATATTAAAAAGCTGGCCCGAATTACCTTTAAGAATTTTACCAGTCGGAATGAAACTTACGGGCAAAAGGTACTTGCGGTAAAGAGCCTGTAGAAAATTATCGCCCCTCTCGTACATTCTCTCGTTCGCACTTGGTAATGGTACCATTTTACAGGTTTAATGGCGATGGTTATATTGGGGCTAGAAAATATGAAAACGGTCGTTCGGCGCCATGTTCAGCGTGAAATGGCGAGGGAATTTGAAAGAAGGTCAATTTCAAAGAATATCAAGAGAAAATAGTTTCAACGGATTTCGAAACGACACTAAAACATTTATGTTTATAGCTTTATCTATGAGGAAAGAGAGAGAGAGAGAGAGAGAGAGAGAGAGAGAAAAACAAGAAGAATAAAATATCTAGATTGTTTCGAACATGTAAATGTAGTCGTCAACGAACCCTTTGTCCCTTTATTCGAATTTTTTTTCAATGGACTTATTTTTTTCTTCGATAAGAAGACACGAGCAACCAATCAACAATGAAACGAGAAAAAGAGATCGTATCGATGAAAATTGTAACTCGGTTGTGTAAATAACACGATAGAGGAAGTAGCAAGCGATAAAAGAAGGGCCAAACTGTTCATATTTTATATTTTCTCTCTCTCTCTTTTTCTCTCTCTCATTCATTCTTTCTTTCTTTCTCATCGTAGAAGAAAGAAGAACGACTGCCTTAGTAACCGGGTAGCAAGAGAGCAAACGGTTATCAAGTAGAAGAGGGAAATGTAGAGAGGAAAAAAATTGGGGGCGTAGTGTGAGTGTGCGTGCGTGTAGTAGGCACAATGTAGCAAACGATTCTAGGGGGCCCTTCATATATTACGTAGGGAAAGGCTCATAGGTGGCGTTTATACCTGTTATTTACCGAACTCTTTCAAAATTCTACGGTCTTACCGTCTGCTTCGCGCAACAAAGTAGAGAAAGAAAGAATACTACGACGGTAGAATTCAACTATGAAAATTATCTTTTTACTTCCGTTCGTAATAACAATTTAAACGAATAGAACTGACGAATTTCAATCGAAGATGGGAAAAAAGGACAAAGGAATTTTTTTTTGTGTAAAAATATTTTAATTTAAAAATAGAAAAAAGGTAGTAATAATAATAATAATAATAATAATAAAAATAATAATAATAATAATAATAATAATAATAATATCACCATATATATTTAATAACGAGATAATTAATTAGGTTGAATGCGATAAGAATAGCATGGTCGAGCGTATATCACTTCCTTCCTATACAGCTTCACGAGAAAATGTTCTTCAAATGATATTCCTTCTTTCCTTTCTCTAATTAATTTTATTCTTTTTAAAAGATTGTAGATATCTATCATTATTGGTCGTTCCTTAAGCTCATTTTTCATCGGCATATTCGTCTACGACGAAATAGACGATAAATTAATACACACACACACAAACACACACAGAGAGAGAGAGAGAGAGAGAGAGAGAGAGAGACACACACACACGCAGGCACACACAATAAATTAAGAAAATGATATCATATTTATTAGCGGTCAAATTCTAATCCAAGTTAAAGCGTTACGGTTTATAGGATAGTGGTATATTATCACGAGAAACCGCCGCAAACCGCGAAACTATTTCATACTTGTCACGTTGAGACGTCGCTAGGGAAAACGAGTTGCGGTGAAAACGACCGCGACATTCGTACATACACGTATACACTCCCCTACCCATCTATCTACCCGGTTTCAAACGAGAAAAGATATGAGTGGAATGAAGATAACCCCGAGAAAAGAGATTTAGTCGTTTAACAGTCGAAGGATTTAAGGATCTAACGAAGGAAGGAAGGAACGAACGAAGGAAGAAGAGGAAGAAAAAGAGGTAAGGTACACGTCTGCCATCTGCTCCTTTCCGCCTTCTTCCTTGCATCCATTTTCTTTCGAAGAAAAGATGAAAGAGAGAAAGATATATACATACATATATATATATATAGAAAAAAGGAGAGAGAGAGAGAGAGAGAAAGATTAATGGCGATGGAGAAGACGTTTCATCGTCCTTTTCCTTGAGACTCGCTTTGCCTTCTCTGATCTTTTCTAACGTAGATGTCGGTAGGTCGTTACCGAACAAAGCCACGCTCGTTACGTCTCATTACTCACGAAAATTGCCGCTAGACCGTCGCACGATTGAACAGGTGCCGACTTAATCTTGACCTTCGTAATACCCCTTTTATCTTCAACTTGACCCCTCACTCGGTACGTCCGATCGATTCATCTAGATAAGACGTGAGAAAAAGTCAAGGTCGTTTTAAAAAGGGATCATCGAAAACTTGAAATGTTTCTCAAAAGTAGGAAAAGGTGTTGAAGAAAATTGCATGGGGCTGCTATACTGGTCCCTCAATCTCTTATCTTTTTACCTTCAAGATAAATTTCAGTCCTTGTTAGAAGTTAGTTATATATGTTACATGCGCGCGCGCACGCGCGCCATGTCAGACAACAGACAAAATTTCTTTCCTTTCTTTTCCTTTTTATCTAAGCCTGTTAACGTGTAAACATTTGAAGATGATTCAAATGACATGATTAGAAATGATATCTATGATATCTTGCGTAAATGATAACTTGATATAGTTTATTACGTTGAATCTTTTACGACGAACGAAATCTTTGATGGGGATGAAATGAAGCAGAGTAAAAAATCGGAGATAGCCAAAACAGGTTGCACGGTGCGAATTCATGATGGCGAACTAGACGCTGTCGCGCTTAGTAACGCGGTCCATTTTGATTAGGTATATCCTCCACGTTTGGAATGGCCCATTTTGACGAAGGAAAAATTTTTTTCTTCTTTCCTCTTTTTTTTCTTCCTTTCTTATTTTATTTTCTTTCAACAACGTCAATTCTCCAACCATCTTATGTTGAAAACGTATGTATGTGTGTGTTGGAGAGAGGGAGAGAGAGAAAGAAAGAAAGAGATTGGATTTTGAAAGAGTTCTGGGATTAACAAAGTTCTCCGAGAGGTTCTAGGTAGGTAGACAGACATAACCTCCTCTACATCGACAGGTATAAAAGCGCGCAAAATCTCTTTGTGTTGATCACGCGCAACTGCAATGGAAGAATAGAAAGGACAAGAAGGAGAAAACAAAAAGAAGTTGGACCGTTCACGTGCATTTTGCGTGGCCTATCGAAAAAATCATCTGCTACCTCGAACAACGTCATCATCTTACGTCATTTTCTATATTAGTACTATTGCGTTGATATAAATATATATATATATACTAATTAATTAATTTCATTTTTTTCTACGGTAAAAAATTAAAAGTTAAATAAAGCAAGATCTCCTGTCAAAAATATTTAATAATAACAATAATAATAATAAAATGATAATATATTTGTGGTTGAAAGTATCGTTAATTGGGAACGTGGCAGGTGTTTTCTGCTTGCTTCTTCCACTTAGCAACAAAAATGAGATTTCGAAAGTCCAAACTCGAATCTCCGAAAGAAGAAAGATATTGGCATGAATATGGAGAAGCGAAGTAAAAATATATACACAATCTTACGGGCATAAATGCGAATGAAAATGTCTCGATCGAAGCGCGCGTGCAAAAAAAAAAAAAAAATAAAAAAAAAAAGAAAAAGAGAAAAGAAAAAAAAAAAAGAAA